AGCTAATTAATTACTCTCTTTACTTCCCAGATAAGGAAAGTAGTTTTTCCAAAAAGCTAGTGGCCTAACTAGCATTCTTAGCTGTTGATAAACCTGGAACATTTTAGACTTCTAAGATTGACCTCTTGAACCATCTAAATCTAACCCCTAAAGAACATTTCACCTGACTCAATACCTTGCTTATAAAGGGATCAGTGAAAGTTATTTAACTGATGTTTCAAATTTTAGCTCATATATCTGTGCTGGATGGCTCCCTGCAGACCTAGGATGAGGAGGAGAAAGCAGGGGAAGGCCCTTCTGTGAATGGTATATCCTTGGCTGTACACTTAAAGCCTCCCTTTTGTATGGGTCATCCATCTAGATCTTAAGTGATATCAGCATGAATTTCTGGTTGTTGTTTATGATCCAAAGAATGGTTTACAATAGGATGGAGGGAGAAGAGGAAAGGGAGGGAGAAAATGCATGGTGAGGGTAAAGGAGGGAAGGGGGAGAGAGAAAGAGCATGCAGGACCGGAAGGGAAGGAGAGGGAGAGAAACTGCATGGGGGAGAGAGAAATGTCAAATACGGTGCTCAGAAGCATTGAGCAGAAGTTGACTGGCGACACCTCTTCAAGGCTGGAGTCCCTGATGGAGAGTCCCAAGCAGAGCAGAGTGTCTGAGTAAGAGAACAAATAGCTACAGGTAGAGCTAACATCATCAAGCCAGGCCCTCAGGACTTCCAGCAAAAGTTGATGACATCCAGGCAGCCAGCTGGAGTTCCCAAAAGAGCTTCTTCTCACGGAAGAGCTTTCCATGGCTGAACTCCCCCCCTCCCAGCCTCTCCTTTCCACCACAGGCATGCTCATCAGACAACCTGTAGTAAGTGCCGCTGTTTTCTCTCCCCAGGGGCAAACAGGTGAGGATATATATGCTCCTTCCAGATGATTCTAGCATTCAGCCAATGTTGAGGGCTATTCTAAAGTTAGGGTCTTGCTACTTCTTGACAAGAGTCTCTACATGGAAGTGAGAGCTGAAAGTATCACTAATTTGGAAGAGAGCATGCCCATGTGTCCAGGATCCTTGCAGGCAGCAATTAGCTTGATCACAAATGCACAGAGCAGCCTTAATTGTCAACCTGGTAGCTGTCCTGAGAACCAAAGTGCTGCCCTCGTTCTGTTAACTAGGCAGGCAGGGGAGTGCCTAATGACTTCAGATCCTCAGAAAAATCTGATCAGCCATTCTCTTTCACACAGTGTGATGAAAGATGCACAAAAGCCTATTTCCACATGGGGAAGGCCCACCTGGCCATGAAGAACTACAGCAAGGTAAGTTCTTAGCTAAGTGTGTAAGTTAGCTCACAAGTTGGGTAGGTGTTAGTCCACTTTTAGTGTTTGCTGAAGTCCCGAGATAATGCAATTGGGAAAGATGTTGCATGAATTCCGGAACAGTCCCACTAGCTGTTGGACTCATGTCAGCAGAGTCCCTCAGCAGAATATTCTATTTGTACTGGTTCAGCTTCTCAGAGAAAAGACATGAACAGAAAGAAAACAAAATTCACTTGCAATCTCATTGCTCCAAACGTTTGTGCATACTCACTACAGCATCACATAGTTAATCCCAGTGTTGATGGTGTAAGTAGTAGGGAGTGATGGGATCCTAGGTCCCAAGCCAACAGAAATCATTCATAGTTTGGTCTGGGGCTGAGGAGATGTTGGGTTAAAAATATACACGTCTATCCTGGAATAATGCTCTTTTTTTCTAATGTGATATTTTTATTATATTCATTCTCTTTTTGTTGTTGTGTGTGTTTATGAGCCTGGTGTGGCACAGAGGTCAGAGGACAACTGCTAAGCCATCCCTCCAGCCTTCTGTTCATTCTTAATCTTAGTTTTCTAGATGAGCCATGATAAACCTTGAGGATATGAGTGTTTATTTTCTTAGTTTTTTTTTTTTCTCTTGAAGACTGGCTGGGTACTCTCTGGGGATAAATTGCCCTGAACTGCTCTTTCTTTTTCTAGAAACTTTCTACTTAACCATTTCTTCAGTTAAGAGCTAACTGATAAGCTCTCTAGCTCATTCTGAAGTGGCCAGTGATTAGCTTCCTCGCTGGCTGATTTTGCAGCCTGCTCTCTTCTATTCCTGGGTCTCAGTCAACACAGTCTCCAGTTTTGCTGAGTTCCTGACTCCCCTGGGTAAAACTGATAGTCTCTAGTGCAAATATCAAATCTAAGTTTAGCATATACATTATGATTATTCTTACTTTTGGCAGACATGAGCCACACAAAAAAAAATAATAATAATTCAAGACTGGGTAGTAGACATCACAGTTTGTGCTTAACAAACAAGTTTTTAAAATGAATTTTTGCAACAGTACCTGTAGTGTCACAGAACCTGAGAAGCCCAAGCAAAAATATCAAAAGCTCACTGTTCTCCCTGGCCACCTCCTGTGCTGGGAGCAGGGGGAAAGATAAGAAAGGATAATGAAGGAAGCAAGCCCTGGGATGCCCCACATCTGGCCTATAATCACAGTTACCCCCTGACCACCTTTCAAGGTCTTGTTTCTGTTTCTCAGTCTAGAGAGTGTTATCAGAAGATCGGAGAGATAAACCCCAAGCTTCAGACACAGGTGAAAGGTGAGACTGTCCCTGCTGCTACAATCCATCTAAATCCAGTTTTCCTTTGCACTCCACTGGGGTGCCCTCCCTACTTTCTCTGCCCTGGTCAAGACCACAGCCTTGCCTTTCCTGCACTGCCCAGCCCTCCCTATGCTCATCCTCCATCTGTTTCCATATTTAGACTGCTCCATGTCTTTTCTTGCATGCCATCCTCCCATAGACTTGCAGACTGCCCCAAATTTCCAGGATGTCTTAAGACGTGGTTTAGATTTTACTTTGCTCCTAAACGACTTCTTCCTGAAGAAGAGTCTGAATTATTTTCTTGCTTTATACTTCCCATCCTTGCAAGGAAGAAAGGAAGGAATGTGTAAGGGCAGGGAGATGTGGAAGGTGGGTGGCTTTTGTATGGTTCTTTCCATTGTTAGGCTGTTGCTTCATTTCGCTTTTTCCTGCTTGTTTTGCTAGAATCCCTAAATCAAGTAACTCTTCAAGAAAAGGCAGATCTACAAGAGAAGGAAGCTCGAGAGTCCCTGGATTCAGGAAAGAACACAGCAATGACAACTAAAAATCTCCTGGAGACCCTCTCCAAGCCTGACCAGACACCCTTGTTCTATGCAGGAGGCATTGAGATCCTGACAGAAATGATGACGGACTGTAAGTCAGACATGTGTGTGGTCTCATGAGCATTGTCCGTGTGAAGTCACGGGTTCAGGAATCTGGCTCCATGGGACAAAGATCCCCTCCCTTCTATAGATATCAAATGAAAATCTACACTAATATAGGTGCCCAAGAGGGTATGGAAGAAATATACTTCCCCTGTACCCCATCCTCTTCAGAGAATGCATTAACTCATGCGATGAACACCACACACATGGCATAAGATAGCACACATGGTGTACAACAGCTCCATGTGTGCTTATATTACATGTACCACACACACACACACACACACACACACACACACACACACACACACAGCATGTGTTTATTTACATTTATGCAAATATATACATTAAGTAAATCCGTGTACTTACTCTATAAACTTCCCTCACATGTGTTCCACACATCTTGCTTCCATCCCCACATCCACTCTAACATCCTAGACCTTGCACACACCCTACACCACGTAGAAACAGAAGAAATGTCTATGATAAACTATAGGGATCACCCCAGCTGCACTTTACAGTGTCTTGGAACATGAAAATAGCTTCGGAGGAAATATCTGTCACTCTGTTATCGGTTCCTGTAAACACTGATGGCAGAACTTAAAACAACTTTGGTTGCTCAGTGACAGGATGTCATTTGTACAAATGGATGGAGGCTCTGGTCCCCCATTAGTATGGAACAGAGGTAGCCCAGATGGCCCCGTTGGCCGCTTTCTTAGAAAATGTAAGTTCTTCTCCAGAGCCCAATAATAGCTTCAATATAAACATGGAGAATCAGATGGCTCTCCAATACTTTCCAGGGATCAAACAGCTCCTGTAAGCTCTCGAAAGCTTGCAGAGGAATGACCTGAGATACTGACATTTTCTAAGCAGTCTCTCTGATGGTGACATATCCAGTGGCTGGTAGCAATTGCATTTCTCAGAGTGTGATGATCTAGCTAGATTTTTGATGATCTTGCCCTTTCATACTAGGATCTGGTGATCAGCTAGATGCCAACCTGTGGGTTAGGATCCTGACTCAGTTCTTGTGTTTTTTTTTTTTTTTTTTTTTCAGGCACAGAACGGACCTTGTTCAGAACATATGGTGGATTCAGCACCATCAGTGACCACGAGGTCATAAGAAAGTAAGGATATTTGGAAAGAGCCAGATGTCTACAAGAAAAGACAGAGTCGTGTGTATGTGAAAGCAGTTACTGGCCACAGAGGGAAGGCCTTTGGACTCTGTGTCCTTGCTCCTCAGTCATCAGGGTAACCCCTGAAAGAGCGTATGTGAACCCCCTTGAGATCAGAGCCTCTGGCCTTTTGCATCATGTTGCAGCTGACAGAGTGAGCCTGTCCCACAGGCCATCTCCATATGTCCCAGACAGACAAACACCACTCCTACTGGTTCCCCACCAGCATTTTTAAATTTTAGTTTGTTCTTTTTCTCATTTTACTGGCCATTTAAAAAAGTAGAAGCAACTGGGTCCTGGCTGGCTCCATTTAGAATTTTATCTAAAACAAGGCCTACATGGAAGGGGGTGGTGTGCTGTGTTTATTTCATATTGTGCTTGGATAATCCAGGAGGTTTGGGATCCTGACATGGGTTGGATGTTTGCATGTCCGCTCATCACGATGGCCCTTGGCTGTCCACCCTCTTCTGTGTACCCACCGCTGTGTTTTTAGCCTTTGCATTTGATCTGGAATTTTGGAATCAGTGATGGGTAGCTCCTTAGTGGTGGTTACCTATGAATAAGACATATCTTCCTTCCTTCCTTCCTTTCTCTCTTTCCTTCTTTCCTTTTCTTTCTTTTCTTTCTTTTGAGAGATCTCACTGTGTAGCCCTGACTGGCCACTCTCTATGTAGACCACCCTGGCTTTGAACTCACAGAGACCCACCTGCCTCTGCCTAATGGGTGGTGGAATTAAAGGTGTGTACCACCGTGTCCAGTTTGGATATGCATTTTAAAATTTCTCTTAACTCTTCATTTGCTGAGTCTGGGGGTGGAACCCAGTGCAAAGAAAACAAGATTGATCCCCAGATTCTGCACTGCTCAACCTGTCTTCTCCAGGTGCCTCTTCTCAGCAGGGATGGATGCAGTTGAAGAGGTTCTCTGTGTGGCTGTTTTGAAGCTCTGGCAAGCAGTGTGTAGTGACAATGGTAAGCCTGGTTCTTCACTGTCCATTGTCAGTTGTGTTCCCCAGAAGAAAGAGCTGCATGGCTCAGCATGGTAGTTCTCCTGAGTGGTCAGGCCTGGAAGGACTGGTGTCTGAATTCCATGCCTTTTCCTCCCCAAAAGTATGTGGACAAAAAAAAAAAAAAAAAAGCAACTTCAACTTCAAGTTCTATATTGAATTCATTCCCCAGCCCAAACCTTATCCTCCTCTTCCTGTTCCCCCTCCTCCTATTTCTTCTCCTCTTCCTATTCATCTTTCTCCTTCTTCTCATTGTCCTCCCCTGCCTCAGGACACGGGGGTAGAGAGTGGGCAAGATCACTGTCAGCATAATGAGTGCTCCCCCCACATACCCATGCCTCTCCCTTCCTCTCCCTTCTCTGCAGACTCATGACTTCTGCTCATGTCATGAGCAATGGAGACAGTTTCCTTTTCTGTCTGTTTGAAAATACTTTGGTTTTGCTGACCATTGCACCCCTGGCAGATGACTAGCAGCCAGCATCTTTGGACACTGATTAGCGTCTGTTACTGAAATAGAAAAGTGCCAGAGGGATTTTGTTTTGTCAATTCTTACCTTTCTTCATACAGCATCCTCCAGAGATCATTAAGTTCTTGCACAATCTTTCTTAGTCACTTTTATGGCTTCTGTGTGTATCAAGATTTTAAGTTTTCCCTGTCATCTCAAAGAAATGTATTTCACAGGAATATGTTTGCTCTTGGGACAGGAAACACTAGAAATGAGGACAATCACAGGGTGGGGCATGCAAGGAGTATGAGGAAGTCATCTCCTTTCCTTTAGTAGGCTGAAGGACTGAGAACTTGAAGTAGGCTGTAGGAAACAGGCCTAACAGGAAGCTCAGTTACTGGAAGCGAGCAATCGGTACAGCCAAGCATCTCAGTTTGTCTCAGAAACCAGATTAACAACAACAGAAAAACAAAAATAGGTGTGGTGGCATGCCAGTAATGTGGAGACAGGTAGATCCCCAGGGACAGCCACCCTGGTCTATTTGATGATTTCCAGGTCAGTAAGTTCCTAATTAAAAAAAAAAATAAAAAAGAAGGAGGAGGAGGAGGGGGAGGAGGAGGAAGAGGAGGAGGAAGACAAGGAGAAGGAGAAGAAGAAAAGAAGAAAGAGAAGAAGAAAAGTAGAGCCTTGAATGATACCTGAGGATGACATGTGAGGTGTCCTCTGGCTTCCATCCATATGCACACACACATACATACACACACACATACATACACACACACATACACACACACACACACACACACACACACACACACACACACGTACATACACACACAAACATCCTTGCTCAGGGCTGTGTCTGCCAAGATTCCTAAAGGAAGGTAACAAAGGAAGAACTTGGTGGCTGTGTTTTCTCTATGAATCAAGCATAATAACCCAGATATTTTTGTTTCTGTGAGCCTTGGAATTATGCTGTTTTAATATCTGAAAAATATTGTCACCCACATATTCTGTGTTTCCGGCTCATGAAATCTTGACATGTCAATAAACACAAACCCATTTTTTTTAAAGAAGCAGAGAATGTGCAAAAGAAGAAACATGAGACTACATCAGTGGCATATTGTTGGGTCAGAGAAAGAAGTCACTTCCAGCACACCCACAGTGGCATGCCTTCTCCAACAAGGTCACACCTCCTAATCCTTCCCAAACAGTTCTACCAACTGGGGACCAAGCGTTCAAACATGTGAACCTGTGAGGACCACTTGCATTCAAACCACCACATCTTGGAAATCATTATTTGCAAAAGCCAGGCAGCCAAAACCTTTAACACGGGAACCTTTGAGTATATTTCAGATTCAAACCATGACACCATCCCTCCAGTTTGCTCTGCTGTGTTTCATTACTTATTCTGGTACTTCTGCTGTGTCCTGTCTGCTCCCACATGCCTGCTCCGAACACAAAGCAAGCAAAACTCAATGTCACTGCATTTCAGTGTTAGGACTCTGGGGAAGCTCATGGTCTATTATATTATGGAGGTATACTTGTCACATGATGTCATAGTTTCCCAGGAAGAATACAAACGGTTTCTCTGGCCACCTTTTTTATTTTAAAATTTTATTCATTCTACATACCAACCACAGTTCCCCCCTCTTCCAACTCCCCTGTATCTCCCCGAAACTTACCCCCTCCCCGTCTAAAGGCTGATTCTCTGATTATATTCCAGTTAAGCCAAGTGCTTTTCCTTCATCCAATTCCACATTCCACCCACTGAGAAAGCTTTTTAAGAATAGTAATAGTGTAACTAATCTATGAGAGCCAGTCTCTGTCTAGCACCATCAAGCAGTGGCTGGATGAATCCTTATTAAAAATTCTAGCAGGTGGGTCCTCATCTGACTGATGAAGAAGCCGAGGACTACAGGAGTTAGTGATGGGCAAAGGGCATCACTCTACATATTCAGACACATGAGTCCAGTTCTTAAAACTCATTAATCCTGCCTAGCCAATGTGTTAAGAAGAGCCAGCTTCCTGTTGTGGTGGTGGGTGACAGAATGCACTTAAATGCTGCCATGGCAGCTCAAGGCATATCAACACCTGTGTTCTGCAGAGGAAAACCAGCGCCAGCTTGTGATCCACCCGGATATGGCCAGGCTGCTGCCTTCCTTCATGACCTCCAGAATCCTGGTTATTCAGCAGCAGAGCCTGGCCCTACTGCTGCAGCTCACCCAGACGGAGAATGGCCGGAACCAGGTCATCAAGCAACTCGACATGATCCGGTAAGCCTGTGCTGGTGGGATCTTCCCTGTGGCCCCTCAGGTAACCACTACGGAGACAAGGTCAAGCTGCCCATCCCTCCTGCAGCTTGTCTTTGGGGGGTGTGGTTATCACCAAGTTGTCATGAGTCTTCATGAAAGACAATAACAGAAAGAGCCTCAGAGAGAAACCCTATCCGGAGGGTATCTCAGCAAACTCCTGGCTGAACTCACGACCACACTCAGCTTTGATTCTGCAGGAGTAGAGACCATTGAACTTGACAAGGCAGTGCCTCCACAGGCAGTCACAGAACCCAGCTGGAAATGGCCCACTTGCTTCTGCCCTGTTAAACTCAGGCCTGGTTCCACCCTGTCCCTTCCCTGCTTTTCCTATGTTCCTATGTTCTCCTGTTTGACACAAGACTTGTGGTTTGTTTTGCATGTCCTTCAGGCATTTCTAAAATGAGAGAGTATAATAAATGCTTTTTAGTGGGGCTTTTTCAAAGACCAAGACACATGGGGATAGTGTGTGCACAACTCCTAAAGGATTTCCTAAAACAACTTACCTGAATCACAGTGACTCTCTTTCTGTTTGTGCTCTTCAACATTTTAAACAATTAGTTTTTTGTTTGTTATCTCTGTATTTAGTGTATAAAGAAAGATATATGTGGGGTGGGGGGGTTGCACACACACCAAGAGGATGTACTTATGTATGTACAGGTGCACATATTTATGCATGCTTGTGGAGGTCATAGGTCAATCTTGGGTGTTGTTCCTCAGGAGCCATCTACCTTGTTTGTCAAGAGGTATCCCTGTCACTAGGACCAGGGATCACTGGTTAGGCAGGCCAGGCCAGCTAGTACCTCAGTGGCCTATCTGTATCTGCCTCCCCCATGCTGGGACCACAAATGTATGCCACCATGACCCACTTTTTCTGGGTTGCTGCAGACTAAACTCAGTCCCCAGGTCTGTGTGACAAGCACTGTAACTGACTGAGCTCTCTCTCAGCCTGTGTTTTACTTATTTTTCAATTTACATTGCTTACCTGTTTTCTGGTTATAAATTTGACCATATAAAATTGACATGCCATTGTTTTTAGGCCAGAAAGGTTGAATGTCAGCCATCTCATATGGTTTAAACTGATAGAAATAACATTGTCTGGGGCCTGCTTTGTAAAGGTTTCAAGGTAACTTTAGAACAGAAGTTAATCTGCCAGACTTCTTTGCTGCCAGATTTGCTTTATCTCCTGTGGTGACTTAGAGGAATGGTTGCTCCCTATTCACAGAGTGGGCAGGAGATGCTACAGCAAATAACAAGGCCACATCAGCCAGTTGTCCCCTCTCGCTTGCTCCCTGGAGCCCAGCTCCTACTCTCTGTCCTCTGTAAGAAAAGAAGCTGGATCTCTCCAGACCAGGCTGAGCCCTCTCACCTGTCCATTTACAGAGGGGTTCACTGCATACCAAGGGCAAGGTGGTTTCCATCTCCCTGTCTCCATTAAGTCACGATGGCTTCCAGGAAAGGCTTGGCAACCCAGAACTCTGCCCACCTGGCAGGTGGAGTGCTAGTGAATGTTTCCAGAGGCACTTGATACTTTTCAGGTGACTCTACAGCCATCAGCTCCAATCCCTTCTTCACCTGTTATTTTCTCTTAAAACACCCTTTGTTTCGGAGCATCTGTAGCTCTAGTTGTCTCAAGGCTTCTCCTATCTTTGAATCACCTGAGTCCCAACTTAAACTCTTTCAATTGTGTTGTGCCTCACCCTGATACATGCAGCCTCACCAACTCTTAGAGCAGCAGGGAGACCTCAGCTTGTTGCTTTCAGGTCCACTAGTCTTGCTAATGTCCATCTTCAGGTAACTTGTTGATTCTCTGTGCTGAAATGAAGCAGGACAGGGGAGTATGCACCTCACAGAGGGATGCAGGTGTCCATCCTCCCCAGATGTGAACTGGTAGGAACAGGCTTCCCACTTTGTAGGATATACTGGGGTTTTAGATTCTCACAGTCCAGTGTTTAATCCTCATTTGTCTTTTTATTCTTTTTCACCTAGGGAAGGTACATTTTCTTGCCTGTACACACACTTGGAATGACAGTTGAGAGGGGTGGTAGAGAGCTGGAGAGATGACTTGGAAGTTAAGAGTATGTTCTGCTCCCTCAGAGACCTCAGTTCAGTTCCCAGCACCCATACTGAGGAGTTCACAACCACCCCTAACTCCAGCTGCAGATCTGATGCCTTCTTCTGGCTTCTTAGAGCATCCACATACAAATATACAACACATAAACACACATGCACATGAACAATAGTAATTATTTATCAGAAGAAGTGTGATAAGTACCTCACTTCATTTTTTTTTTATAAAAGATGGGACTCCATGCTAAAACCCTTGCTAATACATATTAGGGTTCAGTTCTCAGCACACTACCCTCCGCCCTCCAAAAACAAACCAACAAACAAAAAAGCCCATAGAAATATGTCTATGTTGGTTTGATCTTTTTCTCCTTATGTAGACAATTTGACAAAAAGGAGCTTAAGCAAGATAGAGCCTGGCATTCATTCCCCCACATAAAAAGAAAAGACATAGCACAATAACCCATAGCTCGAAGACTCCAAGGTCAAGGTCACTGTCCTTCTCTTTACCTTTCCTTTTCTGTTGGTGTGATGCCAAGCCCCATATCCCTGTCTAACACGGCTTAGCATCTGCTGGATCTTCCCTCTTCATTAAGAAAAGGTACTGCTTATTTCAGTTTGGTAGAATTGTGTCCTGGGCTACCCAGGAAGACAGTGGCAGCTTCTGTTGCAGTCAGGCAGATTGGAAGAGGGAAGTGGTGACTGTGAGGCTGGCCAGCTAACAAATGGCACCACAGTAAGAAGAGTCACCAGCATCCATATCTGATACTGGACATGAACCTAATACTGTTTTAATGATCATTTCTTTCTCTCTCTTTAGGGCAGATTGTCCAAAGCCTTAAATGGGATTGTAGTGAAATGATTGGCTCCATGAGCCCATTCTCTGAACTGTGGTCCATCCACGGGGACAACTGCATGTCCACAGAGTAGAAAATATGTCTCTGAGCAAAATGAGGTGAAAAGGGGACACACTGTCCTCTGTAGGTAATGAGAGTAGTTAAGAGAAGTGTTTTTGTCACATGGTGAGGTAGCTTACTTGTTTATGTCTCTTAAGACTAAACCAGGATGACCCTGACAGTTGTCTGCCCTTGGTGCTATTCTGGTTCATCAGCATCAATCTTCAAGACCAAGAAAACAGAATTAAATTGGTATAGGAAGTATTTGGACGAACTCCAAAACAAATTATTTCTGATGGATGAGCACTAGAGTACACTCTTGAGGAAGTCAAGAATTTACAGAAGCTTGAGGACACCTGAGCTTTAGACACCATCTAGCCCATCCCCATTCAGCATGGCTGCCCCTCTGCAGTGGCCCAACCCAGTCCACAGATGCTCCCCTCTAGGGAAGACCCAGAATTTTCACCGTATCTGTTTCCATTTGACTTGAGCCAGGCATTAAGACAGTTCAAAGACTGGAGGTCTTCCCAAGTAATGAGGATGTGAGTCACTCCCCAGGTAACCCATTTACTGCCAGAATTACCCTGACTATGAATTACCTATCCCACAGCTCTCTGACCCAAGGACAGCCCAGACAATGGAGGGTTTGAAGAGAGCATCAAATCCTGCCACTTCCCAGCATTAGGGGCCACACACTAGGCTTTCCCAATTCAAGCACCCCACTTCCTATACCAATCCGAGGGTGATTCAACCCTTCCCAGAACAGTCTGCTAAAGAGGGTCTATCCCTCAAAAGTGAGTGCCTGCTACACTCCCAAATAGTCAACCCATAGGCTCTTTCCTGTCTTGCTGTCACTCCACTGCCCCGAGGGTGGACTTTTGGAGAGACTGTCCTCTCTTGAGGGTTAGGTGGTAGCACCCTCTGGTACCAGACCCTGCCTCCTTGTCTCTCAATAACATACCAAATTAAATGTGGTTCTTTGCACTTGTCTGTTTCACCTGGATTTCCTGTCCTCACATAGGATATCCAACCATCTGCTTGCCTAAGAGTTGACCTGTACCACCATGACCATAGTCATAAGACAGTTGCTTGTTGCCCTTGCTATTCTCCTTCTTGATCTCTCATCATTCCTACTCAGTCTTTGTAATATCCCCTCCCTTTTAATAGTACCTTTCATCCTGCACTGCCATAGCCCAGTCCCATGACCTTTATTGTCAGGCAAGCACACATCTCCCTGGTGGGATTCTCTGCCCTCCTGTCCTACCGTCTCCAATCTGACCTCCATTCAACCAGCAAAAAGATGTTTCTAAAATGCATATTGGCCCTGTTGTTTTCCTCCTTAAAATTTTAAAATGACTCTCCATTGCCTATAAGGCTGTCTTTCTAACTCATGAGACACAATGTCTAGGAGTCACTTGGGGCTTGGCTAAAGCAGTCTCCCAGAGATTTGAAGTATAGAGTAGGAATCTATGCCCCACCCTCCTGCCACCACTATCATTGAGAAAGTCACCTGCCCATCACATAGACATCATGTACCATGGAAGCCTTTTCTTCTCTAGTCCCCTAACAACTTCTTCCAGGTAGACTCTGAGGATCTTAGCATGAGTGTGTTCTAGCACATTCCGAATGCTTTCCTTCATTATTTGTACATGTGTCACTGTAGGCCAGGAGATAGGTGCTGAGCACAGCGCATAGCATGCCAAAGATGCTCAGTTTGCTGGAGGGGACTCATAACTTTCACTTCTGGTGTTCTAAGAGTAAATCCTCTTCAGGCAGCTAGGACTGTCATAGCTTTATTTCTAGCAGCTGAACTGGACTATTTGCCAGGTTCTCTATACAATCATCTTAAAACCCTTGAATCTCCAGCTCTCAGTAGAAGACTCTAACTCTATTAAATCCATCTGCTACATTCAGCAGCCTGTCAAGGTCTTGTTAAATATTTATTCCATCACCTGTCTAATTGGGGGATGGGCTCTCATTTTAGTTATGAGTAGATTAATAAGTGTGCCATGTAGATGTCATCCAAGTTAATGAACTTGAACAAGATACGGCCACAGGGCAGAACACCAGAAACTCCTTCCAATGCCTGATAATTAGTGAACTTACATTAAAACTGTTTAGCAACCTGAGAATTCACATGGAGGGCTGGAGCTCCCTAAAGGATGGTATGCATGGGTGTGCCAGGCATGGCAGGTCCATCCTCTCAGCTTTCTTTCCCCAGATGCTGAGGCTTCACTGGGCTCCTTACAAGGGTACCTTATTGGAGATGCTGAGAGTTTGAAGACAGCCCATTCAAAGTTTTGTGTTTTTCCCTCCAATGGCTCTTTGCAGACTGTGTGAAGCATTGCTGTCATTTCTTGACTTCTCAGACAAGAAATCCAATACCGCCATTGGAGTGCTCACAGATTTGGCTCTAGAAGAAAGGTAATTGTTTTATTTTGTTTATATAAATTGACAGTTCTTCAACCGGTGTTAAACTTTGTGGTCTTTGAGAAATGTCACCACCTACAGCAACCTGACAAATCTCCAGATGAGCATTACAAGATGTGCTGAGTAAGGACACTGATGGCTTCCAGAGGGTTATGGCCATCCACTCTCATCCCAACCCCTCCAGGTGGAGGGTGACCCAGTCCTCAGTGGGCTTGGAAGCCACAAAATACAGTTGTCCCTTGGTTCTACCAAGTCTGCATCTGTGGATTCAATCAACCACGGATCGAAAGCACTTCTAAAAGCCTTTGGACTGAACATGTACAGTCCCTTTTCTGTATCATTCCCTAACCAGTACATAGTGGGTGTTTACCTAACACTTTACATTGTTTCAGTACCATAGCTACAAATGCTAAGACATGGCTCAAAGTTCCCAGGAGATCATACATAGGTTATATTCAAATTCTGTATCATTCTATGGAAAGGACCTGGGCATCAACACAGCTTGGTATTTGTAGGGTCCTGGGATCAATCTCATCCAGACACCAGGTGGGTGGCTACTGAAAACAGTGCTTCTTGCAGTGAGCATGCCAGCTATGACTCATGGAAGCTTCCTGCCTCTTGGTCAGTACCTGGTGCATAACAACTTCTGGGAAATCTGTGTTGAGTGAATATAAGTGAGCAAGTAGAGGAGAATGAACAGGGAAATACTGATTAGCTATCTCTTCTTGCCTATTTGTTTTGTTTTCAGATGCTGGGGGAAGATGGTAAAAACCCTAGAATTTTAGAATTGTTGCAAATTCTTAAGTCATTTCTTATGAGCTTTTAAAACATTCATTGCACCCATTGTAAGTCTTGCCTGGAAACAGTCATGGAAGAAAGAGCTAATATGCTCACAGGTGGGCCAGCTGGGGGTGGGGGAATAGCATAGAATGTTAAAAAGCATGTGGTGAAGTGTGTCTGGGCCTTCCCAGCGGCTAAGTGTGTCTGGGCCTTCCCAGCGACTGTGATTAGTGAACATATGTTCACTGTTTCCCTCCTGCACTGGGCACCTGGGACACACAAATCCAGAGCAAGGCGAAGGGTTACAGTCAACTTGACAGACGCCAGGGAGTTCCAGCTACTTCTGCTTCCAAGAGCTGGTGCCTGAGACATGCAGTCTGACATCAAAGATTATTCTCTGGGCTTAGAAAAATTAAAGTCACGTGACAGAACCAGTGCCTTTGAATTTTAGGCACAGAGAATGAATCATGAGTGCATACTGTAAGTCACGCCCCTGTTTGTATCTCTCTGAGACATCACCTGAGATTCCAGCCTTGAGGTGTATTTTGTGTCATTTAAAAATTATCCTGCCTGATGTTCTCTCAACAGATTCCAAGTGTGGTTACAGGCCAACCTTCCAGGTGTTCTCCCTGCACTCACAGGTGCTCTGGTAAGCAAACCCCAAGTTCTGTCCTCTGTGGCAGATATTTCTTTGTCAGGACAGAGCTGTTGAAACACAGTTTCCATCCCAGCACCCTTGTTGTCTCTTAGCTTGATTAGTCATTTGTTCACAGCTGGAATTTACACAGTTTTTGGCTATTAAAACAACTGCAGACAGGACAAATATAAGTGGCCTGTGGACAGGGTTGGCTGTGGGGGGTGGGCAGCAACATGCGGGTTGCATCTTATATGACAGTAGGGAGCGCGTGCTCTCTATCAGAGTTCTCCTTAGCATGAAGTCGTGTCTCCAGGACAGGGTGTGACTTTGTCCCCTGTGTGGAAATCACCCCCATCAGGACAAGGATAGCTGTGTGAGTAATGAAGCAAGGGCTCTCCTTAGGGAGAATGCTGTGTCTGTTAACCATAAAAACTTCAGAAGACCCCAGGAAGGCATAACCACACCCCAAGATTTTGCAGCTGGTTGGTGTAGAAGCTAGCATATGACTCCATCATTGATGTCACTGTATGACATTCAGCTAGGTGTCTGGCTCCTAGCCTTTTGGTAAGCAAGGGACACTTCTAGAAAGGCCTATGGCATCATTTATCTGCTGTCTGAGACATCACTTCCTCTGAATTCATTTGTAGAAGCGAGAGCCCAAGTTAACCAGCCCCTCAGCCCTCTGCCAATGCATTGCCCTGATGGGGAACATCAGTGCTGAGCCTACTGCCCGAAGACACATGATGTCCTGTGAAGAATTTGGGGATGCCTGTTTGGAACTCCTGGTATCACAGCCTTTCTATTCAAACTTGGCCTCCAGTCTTCTTGTGGAACACTGGCTTTTCTTCTAGTTACTCTGTTTCCCAGGAACTAGGGCCCCTTAGGCTTATTACCACTATAGCTATAGGCTTGGTGGGGTGGCAGCCTCCAAAGTCCTCTAGATTAAGTCTCCCTGACTCCAGAGAGATTTTGAAGCTTTTCTGATGGATCTGATCATCCACATCAGCTGTCCAGGAACTGGACAGTTTCCAGTGCAAACCCAGGGCCTGCTGAGCCAGAGTGCCAAAGCCAGGGTGCCTGAGACACCTTCTAAACTGATGCTAATTCCTGGAACCGGTGTATGTACTTCCACCATCATTCAAGTCCATAACGTTGACAGTATAGGGCATACGGGTATCTCAAGACACTTGTCTAAGGGAAGAGATGATCATGACGAGCTGCAAAGCAGTAAGATAGTTGATTGCCTTGCTTTGTTTCCAGGTCAAGTGTGAGGAGGACGTGGACCTGTTCAGAGAGGTCACATATACCCTCCTAGGACTCATCATGAACTTGTGTCTTGAGGTTCCCTTCATTTCTGAGGTACAATGCTCCTGTCACTCTCCCTGAAGCCCTGAGACAGACTTGTGTTGGCTTGTTCATGTATGCACAAAGCGAACAGAAGCATGTGGCCCTGAACAGTGGCAGTCTGGGGATATGTAGTGCTGGAGGGATGCTCTGTCACTTTTCTTGGGGCAAGAGTCACTCTTGTCTTTATCCAGAAAGCTTTCCATGTGGACAGAGCATGCTGAGCCAACAGGGGTTACATTTCAAGAGTCAAATAAACTATGTCCTCTGCTATGGAATCACTGTCCAGACTAGAGGAGACAGATATGGAAGCAATAAAAGGAGCCCCTGTGGGGGAAATATGGGCACAGGTGTTGTAGTTCCCAGAGGGAGTGGCCGACTCTGTTCGATTGCTTGGAAGACACTCTACAGAGGATTCTGACTATTGGGCTATAAAGACACCTCCCCTCTTCCCCTTGTTTGTAGATGTGGGCCATGGAGATGAGCCGAAAGTGCCTGGCTCTACTGAACAGCCAGGATGGAGGAATCCTGACAGTAAGTTTCTCCAAAAAAAATGGATTAATTGTTTCCTGTTCTAGTACTGTTTTCATGTTAATAGGCCTTACCCTATTTGCAAGCACCACCTTTGAAGTCTCTGTAACACTGAGGTATAGTGTAAGTGGACTCCTCAAGGTCATGTCCACAAACACACAAGTGAAAGATTTTGCCTTCAAATTGAGAGGATTTGGTGACAGCTCCCCACACACACGTACATGTGATCCTTGTAGAGTCCAGGAACCCAAGTTAATCTCTTGACTGTGTGGTCTAGAATCTAACCAGTGGACATGAAGTTTATAATATTTCAAGAGATGCTTTGGAGGCCTATGCTAGAATGACTTTCTTAATTCTGTTCTAACACTTGACTAAGAAAACCAAAGGTGGTCCTGTGGTTAGGGCAGTGCCCATGAAGAAGAATGTTAACATGATTCAGGCCTTGGGTCACCCTCCTTGGGCGCACTCTTCACTTGCTCACTTTTCTATCAGTTGCAGGACCTAAAACCTAGCCAAACAAGGTGACATTCAGGCCAGGTGTCAGAAAATAGCCCTTTAAAAACAGTAGGCAAAGGGAATCGCTTCAGACCTCCCCAAGTTGTCCTCTGACCTGACCTCCACATGAGCATTTTGCCATGCACGTACACACACACACACACACACACACACACACACACACACACACACACGCACGCACGCACGCACGCACAAATAATAAATAATTGTAATTTTAAGACTTTTAAAGTGAAATGAAAGCTCGGAAATAAAGCAAATAAAGTCTTCCAGGAAGTTGAACCAAAAGCCAGAGATTTGGGAAGATAAAGATAAATGAAAACTAAAAACTCCAAAGTTGGTCCAGGAAGTGGAACATCTTCTAATGAGGATGCTATTGATGCTGAGGTCCGGCAGGCACCCAGGAAGGACTGACTCTCAGGGTCAAGCTGGCTGACCCTATGCAAAGCTGAACTACAATGGGCCTCTGTACCATGAAGCAGTATTTCCCTTTAAGCCGCCAACCAGGCAGGTTTATTTAAAATGAACTATGCTTGCCTTGTGTTCTTTGGCCATTCTGTTATTCAAAAATCAAGGAATAGATTTTGCTTTCAATACTAATGATTGCTTTTGCCTCACCAAACTCCTCTCCATTAGCCCTTAAAGGTCGTCAGCATGTCTGGAAAGAGTGTTTAGTTATCGTCTTTGTGTCCCCTCAGAGAGCAGCAGGCGTTCTGAGTCGGACCCTCTCTTCCTCCCCAACCATCGTGGAGGAGGCACTGACAGCAGGAGTGGTGAAGAAAATGATTAAATTCCTGAGGGTAAAGTAACTAACTCCACTGCTTACAACTTCTTAAATGCCCCGAGATACCTGTTCAACTCAGAGAGCAGGGTGGGCTGCTTTGTTCAGCTCACATACTGAGATGTTATCCCTGCCGAACTAGAGAGTCTCTTCCTCCTGTCCACCTAGACAGTGCCCTGAGCAGCCACAAAGACTGTTGAATAAGCAAACTGTTCTTCAGCTACAGTGATAAAAAAAATTGCTTGCCCTCCAAGCCTAACTTTGAAACACGGTCTCTGTCCCTGAACAAGGTGCTTTGAATGGCTTTCTTCGAGGTTTCTGAGGCCAATTATTTTGCTCGTGGATTCCTGGTACCTTCTCTCCTTATCTGGAATGTATTGGTTCTAACTCCATTTGTGAACTATGGAGACTGCAGAGTTGTCACGTGGCCAAAGGAGGTTGGAATTTCCCAAATGTAATGAATTCAGCGAATCCAAGAGAGGAACTAGATCACCTAGAAAGGCTGCGCAAACTATCAGGCTGCTGCCTCTAGATATCACACATGCTCTGCACAGCTCACCCATGTTAGTGCTACAAGAGTTCAAAGCCCTGGGCTGAGCAGGACAGGAAGCAAGCTCCAAAGCAGGGTGGGTAGGGAAAGCTACTAGGCTAGGGCAGATGACAAGGGGGCAGAGTGGAACAGCTCAGTTAAGACTTGATCAGTACCTGTCATTCTTGCTACAACTTTTGGCACTACACCAGAGACTGTGAACACACACACACACACACACACACACACACACACACACACACACACACACACTCTGAAGACCCTAATATTGAGAGTTATGCTTGCATAATATTACCTCTTACAATGATTTTGGTTAATGAGTCTTCACAAAGATTGTTAACCCTTATTCTCCAAAGACAAAAGGACCCTCCACACAGTGCATGAGCGTGTGTGGGTGCGTGCGTGCGTGCGTGTGTGTGTGTGTGTGTGTGTGTGTGGGTGTGGGTGTGTGTGTGTGTGTGTGTGTGTGTATCTGTTATCTAAGCCAGTCTCTCATAAAACCTCTCAGTGATGTCAGCTGTACAAGGGACAGGCCTGCATTTCTACCTTGGGAATGGGGCTAGGTTTACAGGTGGGTACAAGTGACACTCCATCCTTGCTCACCTAAGAAACACATGCCATTGTTTCATCTAATTATCTTACAGAAGCCAAGAAGGCCACTGACACTATTGTGATGCTCACTGAGGTATTCTAGGAAAGAATGATTTTGCTTTTCTGATTTGCTTCTGAAACCTAGATGGGAGGCCAGACTGCATCACATTACGCCATAAAGACACTGGCCGTCTGCACAAACAGCTGTCATCCAGCCAGGGAAGAAGTAATGAGACTTGATAAAAGTAAGTGACAGTTTCATTAATGGAGCCCACGCCTCAGTGGGGGATCCACCCTGGAAGCTGCAGAGGGAGGAGAATCTTAGCATCACTCCCTAGTAGTGTTTACACAACAGGATGTCAGTTCATCTCCCATCACAATGTGTTTCATTGGCCTTTGGCTATGCTTGGGTAAAATGCCAGGCAGCTCAAAGATCACAGGGCAGAAGCAGGACAACTCCCTCCCCTACCCGCAAACTAACCTGGAGTTGTTTCTATAGCGATGCTGGAACTGGGCTAGCACCATCTCGCCTCCTTCATGGATGGAAGGGAAAACAAAGCACCTTCAACCATCAGAGAACAGTGGGAATTTTGGCATTGAGCTCAACTTAATTCATTAAGAATGCTTCATCAAGTTAACCTGGAATGTGTGGGTGTCTCTCCATTCATTAGATTGGGAGGCTGCAGACTACCACGTGACCAAAGACTGTTCTAATTTCCCATGATCTAACTTAAGTCCTAAATCCTCTACAGTTTTAATGGGGGAGGGGGCGTGGTCTTCCAGCAGAGGAAGCCTTCTAATGTTCTTTACACCTCCTCACTGCACACTGAAGGTAACTAACCGGACGAGGCAAACTTTCCTTCTGAAAAGATACATTGCCTCTCCATCAGGCTGGCAGGAGATGTCGAGTGTGGGATACCTTGAGAACAGACTTTTCTGACACTCAAATCCATGTTTAAGACAGTCTCGTCTGCAGTGGTAGCTGGCCTGGAACCTGGTATGTAGATCAGGCTGGCCTCAAACTCACAGAGATCTACTTGCCTCCATCTCCCAAGTGCTGGGATTAAACCACCACTCAGGCTACAAAAACCCCTTTTATGAAAACGCAGGTTCCCCCCAGGTCTCTGGAGAAGATTGTCGTCTACCCCTTCGGCCTCTGTTGTCAGCCTCTTTAGGCTGTCTGTTGCAACTTCTTCTTGTGCCCATACTTCCCTGCAGAGTTCAGCATTTTGATATTGCTGCTTGAGTCAGAGGATGAGATTCTGGCAGGTAACGCTGCCCTCTGCCTTGGCAACTGCATGGAGGTGCCCAGCGCTGCCTCGTCCCTGCTGAAGACAAATATTATACAAATATTGTTGAAGCTGGCAGGCAACGACTCACAGAGGACAGCCGTGCAGCTGAACGCAGGCATCGCTCTGGGGAAGCTGTGCACAGCTGAACCCAGGTTTGTTGTGGTCACCCAAGTGGTGGTCACATCTCAAAAAGAGTAGGGCAAGCTAAGCACTGTGTAAGGAACTCCACTGGGGTACCTCTGGCCTTCCCCATGGAAGGGGGGGAACTCCATGCCTATAGGGGTCCCCATGAGCTGTGTCTCTAGAAGAAGGGTCCTTTGGGGGAACCACAACTTCTAGTCTGAGAAATGGAGTTCATTTGACAGGGTTTGGTCCCATGCATATGGTCACCATCTTCTTGCCATTCCGTTCCCCTTCAACCTGCTCCACTTTGCTTACCCCCTTTCTTCTCTCTCTCACGCGTACCTTAGTCTCTTCTCTCTCCCTCTATCATTCAGCTTTGTGACACTCTGATAAAAAAAAAAATTACCCAAAAGTCCACTTTAAAGAAAGACTTCTTTTGGCTTATGGTTTCAGAGGCTTCAGTCTCTGGCTCCTTGTTGCTTTGGGTCTATTAGCAGCGCAGTGTCTTGTGGCAGTGTGTGCAGGAGGAGGAGCTGTGCATTCATTTCATGGTGACTGAGAAGCCAAGAAAGACACAGGCCCAGTTCCCCAACTACCTTTTGAGAACACCCGTGATCTAAATCCCTCCCACTAAACCCAACATACTAAAGGTTCTATCACCTTGTGACATGGACTGGGACCGAGCCCTTAGCATATGGACCTCAGAAGGACATTTAATATCCAGACTATAACATATTCTATCTCTGCCTTGCCCCCACTCCTTTTATTTATTTTTTCTCTAGCTGGCCTGGAAATCAGCTTTATAGCTCAGGTTGATCACAATTCCCCTGCCTCTACCTCACTAATGCTGAGATTATGAGTGTGCAATACCATGCTTAGCTTCTCATCTTTTTCTTTACTTCTCTGGAACAGACTTCTAGTTTTGTTGTTTGTTTGTTTGTTTTTCCATTTAAAAAAATTTTTATTTCATTTTACATTCCAACCACAATTCTCCCCACCTTGACTCCTCCCACCCAGCTCACCTCCCCCCAGTCCATCCCCAGTCCATTCCTTCTCACGGGTAAGGGCTCCCATGAGGAGTCAACATTGTCTGACACAAAGGTTGGGGCAGGGCCAGGCCCCTCTCCCATGCATTAAGACTGAACATGGTATCCCACCAGGGGGAGTGGGCTCCAGCAAGCTAGCTTCTTATGTACCAGGACAATATTGTGGTCCTACTGCTACTGAGCATGGCATCCCACCCCAAGGAATGGGCTCCAATAAGCTAGCTCATGTACCAGGTTTGTATCATGGCCCTACTGCCAGGATCTACTTTTTGCTGATTGATTGGCTGGCTGATTGACTGACTTGGGTCTAAGCAAATAAGAGGACTGTTGAGCGTGGGTAACAGCAGAACAGCATTCCCAGACCACTCAGCAAACCAGGACAAGGGACTTAGACTTGAATTCTGCTCATTAGTTCCCATTTAGTTCTACTCCTGTTCTGAATCTGTTATGTGTTTAATCACCCCATAGTGTGTGTTTTGGGGTGTTTCTCTGCATTCGTGCCATGGTCCCTTGGATAGAAGTAGGGGAGACCTTGAGGATGGGCTTGTACATGGCTCCTCCCTCACAGATGCAGACCTCTCTTTCCTCCCCCTTGGAAATGAGGGTTTGGATGACACTGAAAGCCCTTTCAAGTTCTCTCTGACTGATCAAGTGGAAGAAAAAGATAAAAATCTTTCTTCCACAGGGAGCAAAGCACATTAGCTATCATGAGATCAAAGTGGCAACCTGCTGGGGTGGGATAGAGGGGTTTCGGAAGAGCACAGCTTCAACTGAGCAGGCTGTCACACCTAACACGATAGAAGTGTGTATCCAGTATTGTGTGGGGTTCCCTGAAAGCCCGACATACCCTCTTTGATCTTTAGGGCTCCCCAGGGCCACCATCACTTCCCCTTTCTACCTAGAGTGATATGGCCCATGTTCATGGCCAGCCTCAAGCTGCAGAAGGTGACTGTGAAACATGACATGTATTGACCTGAATTTTGTGTCCTGATTACCACAGGTTTGCTGCCCAACTTCGGGAGCTTCATGGGATAGAAATTCTCAACTCTACAATGAAACACATGAATGATTCTTGAGGGACATGGTGCCAGTGTAGAGTCTGTGAACACATAACCGTGTGTCGTGGGGTTATTGCTCTGCTAATAAAGTCTTTTTAAATACCCACTTCAGAATGTGATGTCTGCTGGGTTTTCACCGGGAGGACGAGAGCAGGTGGTTAACACAATAGAAACTGCTACTGTTCACTCTAGCATCAATGCATCACTCCTGTCTCTAAAAGGCTCCTTCATTTTTCTACTGAGACCAGAAACCAGCCAACCAAAAGCCTCATTTCCCAGATGCCACTACTTGCAGCAACACCACTAGGTGAGAACTAGATCCGGGGGAAACATCGGGGGTATTTGGCAATGGCATTTCAATATCTTCCTTCAGTTCTCTGCTCCTTAAGAGACTGGTGGTAGCATCAGGGTGGCCGCAGCTCCCTGAATCCCAGCGGCAGCCATGACATGTGCTTTTGGATTCAGTGGCTTAAATGGTGACAGGCAACTTAGAGAGCTTTTTTTCCAGTCCTGGACCTGGAGGTCAGCATCACCACCTGGTTGAGTTTACAAGTGCCCTGTTTCTGTGTGAGGTGGTTCTGGACTTCTGGGGCCAGAGCACAGGCTTCTGTTTCCCGAAAGCCAAATGATGTCCATTTATATTCCTAACCCACCTCATACTCCTGTTTAGTGCACTCCTAAAGACGCTGCTTCCTTTTTCTAAAGCCAGGATCACCTGTAGGCTCCCAAATGAAAGGTTTAAAAGTAACAGTTCTTTAGCTTCTCAGTGCCCTCATGGGTTGAGCCATTTCAGAGAAAAAGGCAGGACCTGCACTGTACAGTAAAAGATAAGCATCTCCAAATCAAAGTTCCCTGGATGGTGCCCCCTACTACCTGCCCACTGTGTTACTGTGTGTTGTGGAATATTAACTAGGCCAAGATAAGTTACATTTGTTTAATATACTGCAGATAATATCACTTTAACTGTGTAAGGGTGTGTTACTTTTGTTTATGCTGCATTTATTTGTGTAAAGATGTGTTTCATTTGTTTCACCTTGCCTTCCTAAGGCACCTGATTGCTCTAATAAGCTGAAAGACCAATAGCTAGGCAGTAGAGGGGTAGCTGAGGCTGGCAGGCAGAGAGTATAAATAGGAGGAGAAGAACGAGAGAAGAGAGGAGAGAATGAGGGAGCCAGGCAGCCTCCAGCCAGCAAGCAGGAGAAGCAGTGGGCAGTAAGACATACAGAAAGAAGGAAGAAAGGTAAAAAGCCCAAGGCAAAGGGTAGATAAAGAGAAACAGGTTAAAAGAGCTAGCCAGAAACAAGCCTAAGCTAGTCCCAGCATTCATAACTTGTAAGAAAGAAGTCTGTGCCATGACTAGAGAGCTGGTTGTTGGCCCAAAAGAAAAAGCCTGGTTGGTACAACTGTATGAGTTGCTTAACCTCTCTGAGATTTTCTGCCCCATCAGAAAAAAACCTAGAATAATACATATCCAACCTACCTATGTTGTGAAGGTTATACAAGATCTAAAATGTTTCCCCAAAGACCCCAGAGTTAAAGGCTTGGTCCCTAGCTTGGAGCCGTTGACAGGTAGTGGACACTTCATAAGATCCTAGTTAGAGAGATTCGGTTCACAGAATGTACACTGGAAAAATCTTGTGGGGTCTTGGTCGTTTCCATTTCCCAGGCATGTGATGAGCAGTTTGCTTTGCAGCTTGTTCCTACCATGAAGTGAGGTTCCCACTAAGAGAAGACTGAAAGTCATAGACCCACCTAGTCATGAGCTAAAGCCTCTAAAACTGAGCCCAAGCTAACCTTTTCACTGTATAAGTGCATTGTTACGTATACTTGTTTTAGTAATAGAAGGCTGACATCAGAAATGAAGGTATCATAGGAGCTCTACTACTGGACATATGCCAGTTGGAGACCTTGCTTGATATCCTGTCTACTATGTTTGAGATTTGGGTGGGGGGAGGGGAGAACTCATGCCCTTTAAGCATAAAAGAAACCATTCTTCTAGGAAGATTTTATTCAACACACCCCTAAAGAAAAGAAAATTCTTCACTGGTAGGGATATCTCTTGGCTTAAATTAAGAACTCTGTTCCTGAAAACAAAATGAATAGTTGCATGTTGGAAGTCTGGATGAAACTCACTAACCCAGAGCCCTCTTGGTGGGATCAGTGCACTGTGGGTAACCGGTGAGAGCACTCTTTGATGGTACTGTCAGTGTCCCTGGGTAGCTTGCAAGAGCTAGCGCTTAGCAGAGTGCTTGGGACCTGCCCATCTGGTGCCCTCATGAAAATGAACCTCCTTGAAGCTGAATTTCAAGAGTGATGTCTGATGCCAAATGGAGCACAGAGGAAAAGGAGAGGCTGCAGAACCCACTGCTTCCAGAGCACTCAGCAGGGCTTGGAAGACGATGAAGACAGTGTGCAGAGTCAGCAGGCTGGTCTCCAATCCCAAGTTCAAGGCCCTCTCTCACTCTGCTACATTCCTCCTCTCTGGTTCAGGAAATGGCTGTTAAGGACAGAATCCCATCCCCAAAGAGTGGGACAGGTCACATTCAGTTGTGCTTGAGAGTATTTGCAGGAAGTTGTGATGTTCCTCATGTTGGAGGTGGGTCCACTGCATACCCTCCTCCAGGTGGAGAGAAATAATTTCAAACTGGTGAGCTCCCAGTGTCTCCTAGCCTCACAAAGACACAGTGAGGCAGATGTTGTCTTAACTACAGAAGCAAATAAACTAAGACTTCCTTGCCTGGGGGCATTTATTCTGTAACTAGAGGAGTTGGAATTTAACCTCAAACTGTGTGTTTGTTTCTTAACTTTTCCTATATGTAAAACATTTCTCTCCTTACTGAGTGTGGCTTTCAGGAAACATCTTTTCTTTTTTTTTTCTGAGTCTTTCTTCTCTTTGAATTGAGAGTAATATGCATAATGTGTCTAGAATGGGTGGGGGGAGCAGGCTTAATGACCATGATGATTGGACCAGAAATGATCCCTGACCTCTCCTGCCATTCCCCATGCCCCCCCTTTCTCTTTCCACCAAAGGACCCATTCTCCCGTTATTTGCTCCATGTCACTAAAGAGAGGTATTTGCCCTTGACCATATTTGTCATTCCCCCATCCTATGCGTTGGGAGGTAAACATAAGCATTCCCAAAACCCAGCAGTGGTCTTCCTATATATTTTTGAGACAGTCAGTGAGGATGATAGCCTGGCTGGTATGGTGGTGCACGCCTTTAATCCCAGCACTTGGGAGGCAGAGGCAGGCAGATCTTTGTGAGTTCAAGGCCAGCTTGGTCTACAGAGCTAGTTCTAGTCTAGGGCAGCCAGAAATACACTTAGAAACCTTGTCTCAAAAAGGATTTTAAAAAATGCTAATGCCAGGGGGGCTGGAGTTCTGGGCACTTAGAACTCAGGAGTAGAGTAACACTGCTCCTCCCTAGGAACCACATGCCAAGGCCTGGGCTGGGCTATGCTAGTTATTTGTATGTATTTGTATGTACCTCTGACTGCTCTAGTGCAAGGTGCTGGGGTCAGGTCCTTTCATAACAAACACTACTGTTATTTCCTTTGTCCTAATTTCAAGCCAGGTAAATCTGTTCATTCCAGGAACTGTCAATCCAACCACACACTCCTCAAGGTATCATTAGCCTCTCCAACTGCCCTGGAAATGGGAGGGACAACCCACTGACTATCACCCCTCCTCAGCTCCTGACCACACAGAAGCCACAAGGCAGATAAGCTTCAGGTGTGTGTGAGCAGATACCAGCTGGATCGCTCGTTTCTTTCTAACAAGATCTCTAATGAAAATCTCAATTTCCAGAAGACAAAACAAAGAGTAATGCCTTGTTTGGGGGCCTTTAGCCCTAGGATGAATCAGGCTCTGACTGCTCTAGGGCCCAGCCCCCACAAGATGCAGAGACAGTCCTCCAGGTACAAGCAGAGCAGAAGAAAGCACTGCTGAAATCTCTGCCAGCCATCCCCAAGCCTCAAGACACCCCATGTGTGGAGCTGGGAGGTAGATCTTCCTAATTCTAGAACTGGGCTCCTGTTACCAGCCAGTTCCCAAAAACTGCTCACTGTGACTAGGGCTTTCTGCCAGTGTGCATTCAACTCAGCTTGAGCATTGCTCCGCTGTGACATGTCCACCTCCAACCTCACGTGTGTGCTTTTAATCTTCAGCCATTCCTTCTGCTCCTTCAGACCCTCCCTGCCCTCCAGCTACAGCACACACGTGTATGCACGCCCAGTTCATCTCCTGAAACGGAGAGATGAATTTCCGCATGGGTATGGGTGAGCTGAGGAGCCATGGAGATTTAGGCTGGATCAAAGGCAGGGTAAGAGAATGAGAATTATAGGTATGTAGGACAAGAAAAATGACTCCTTTGCCCATGCTGGCTATATTTTATTCAGGGCTCATCTCTCCAGGTTCTGCTTAGTTGGAATCTATCTGATTTATTTGCCTCACGCAAGTCACTACCCCAAGATGTCTAGCTTATGCCTTCTCATCTTATAACAAGGAAGCTCTGACTCAGAAGGGCCAGGTGAGGAATCTTTAACATCTATCCCCTACTTGGACAAATGACCTGTCATAAGAATCAAAGTAGTAGAGGGACAAAAGACCAGGAGAGCCTGGGAGGCAGCACTCCCAGGATCAGAGTGCAGGTTCAAAGCCCCTCTCAACCCCTCATGATCTCAGAGCCTCGGTGAGTTAGCTTTACCCCCTTGGTGCCTTGTTCATAAAAAGTGGTGCTATGGGGACAGAGCAGGAGTTTGTCATGAGGATTAATTAGGGTGGTTCCTATAAAGCTCTCCTCACCATGCTTGGCACACGACAGGCATTGAAGAATGGGATTGACTTCATTAAACTGGTGTAGCCATTGCCACAGATGTCCCTGCTGGGCAATCTCAGGAATTATGAAACATGGTTTTTTTTTGTTGTTTTTTTTTTTTTAATCAGGGATGGATAGGCTCCTGTGTAACTCTACCTCAAAGGTGGGAAACAGAGCAGGTTCAATGGTTTTCAGATAAAGA